AGATCATGTTATACAGGATTGACCCACATCATTTACTATCGTAATTCTGAACAAAGAAAGACACTATTATCACTATCACGATCTTTGAAACTCTGTAAGCAATGAATAACTTTATTGATTTGTCTTCGAGTCTCTCAACTGATTATGAAAACCTGTATGAAAGTGGCAAATATACCGACATTTCAATCCATGTTGGGAAAGAGCCAAATAGCAAAAATTTTCTCGCTCATTCCGTGGTATTATGTACAAGAAGCAAATTCATTGAGAATAGCCTGACCGAGAATAAAGAGACGCCTGAAGAGACTCAAAAGACAGTCATAACGTTTGAAGATATAGCACCTGATGTTTTCGAAATATTGCTCAGGTATCGTTTTATAATTGCTAAGAATAAGAAGTTGTGTAAAAACTTTTACACAATATCAATCGTTACAACCTAACCATTCTTAATAGGTATATTTACACTGGACAAATGTCCTACGATTTATGCAAAAACGTAGGTTGGATCAGTCTACTGGATGGCGCTAACCAGCTTGAACTACTTGATCTCCTCACTGCAATTGAAACTTATTTGATTGATAACCAAAATGAATGGATTCAACAGGATATTCTCACAGTTCATAAGTATGCTGCATCTACAACCTCTTTAAATAAACTTCTGGCCCACTGTAATCGAATTCTTGTTTCCCACCCGGATATTCTCTTTAAATCGAATGATCTTGCAACCTTACCGAAGGAGACTTTGATCACCCTTCTCAAGAGTGATGAGCTGAACATGGATGAAAATGATATTTGGATGTCAGTCATACATTGGGCCATTAAACAAGTGCCTGAACTAGAACTTGGAACTGATCCTGATGACTGGTCATCTAATGACACTAACACAATTAAAGATATTATTGCAGATTGTATTCCCTACATAAGATTTTTCAGTATATTTCCTCCCAAAATTGCTTTATATAATGATTTATTACCAAGTAAATTGCGCCGTGACTTACTTAATTATCATATGGATCAAGAATATAAACCAAGCACTTGCATGCTATTACCAAGAACAGGGCAAGGATATGATATTGATTCAGTTATCATTGACAAAAAACAAGCAATATGGATCTCATCAAAGATTGTGGAATCAAAGCGGCTTCAAGAAAATCAAGGGATCTCTAAGCAAATTTATAAATTTACTTTACTTTATAGACCAAGTAAAGATGGTAATACAGTTGCAAATTTTAGGGAATTGTGTAATGATAAAGGACCCACAATTTCTGTTGGGAAAGTGTTGGGTACTGAAGAAATCATTGGTGGATATAACCCATTTGCATGGGGTTCTGGAAATGGTTATACTGATACTAAAGAGAGTTTTATATTTGCATTAGATAATAACATAGATAAGAATATAGTAAGTTTTGTTGGTGATGATAGTTCATCTGCTATTAATGATAATAGTACTATTTTTCCTACTTTTGGATATGGCTCTGATTTATATTTTGGGTATGACAGGGATCACCAAGGACATGCCAGCAAACATACATACCAACTTCCAATAAGACATGAATCGGGTTATTTTAAATGGGTTGATTGGGAGGTGTTTTTAGTTTCAAAATTTTGATTTAAATTTGGACTGCTTTAGAGTTACCAAGTTTTTATGCAATTGAGGAAATTGTTGTTGTGTTTAGTGAAAAATAAATACTACTTCAATATATAATGCCCAGCCATTGACAGAAGCATAAACTGTATTAGTATGTATTTGTTGTTTTAGCATTAAATGTTATCCCAATAGTAACAATTTACATCATATCCTTCTTACTATCTTATTTTAGAAAAGACGTAAGGTGAAGAAGGAATGATGAGGCAAGAACAGCATTACAATTGACAACCAATGTATAGTAACGATGTTCTATTTACCAATCAGAATATTGTATCATTACTTATCAATAGGGTGATGTGATGTCCTAAACAACAAGATGAAGATAGTATTGAAAGATGTCACTATCAATATCTGATCATATGATAGGAAAAATGCCTAGTCTTACATAAAATGTTTGTGTGCTCACATATGTACGAACAATAAAGCAAACGAAGTAAATTCTGCTGTCAACACGTTATTTCTACTATATATTGAAAAGACTACCGTAGAGCGCTGATTAAAGTACCCCCGTGTAAAGTACCCCCCACCATATAAGGCAATGGATTTGTAAAAGAGCAAACTCAATGATTACATACCCCCCCATATCATGTGGCTTATAATAACCAATGACAATCGCATTCACTTCCTACGTATGTACATTAATCCACCAATCATAGAGTGGTCAATAGATGAGTGATCAAGAATAGAATAGTGTGTTCTAGATTGATTGAACTGTTGTTAGCAACCCAATAAAAACCTCATAGTATGAGCAAAATTTGAGAAATATAATTCTGTACCCCGGGTACTTTACACGATACATAATACTCTGTCCATAGTACCCCCCAAGTAAAGTACCCCGGGTCCTTTAGTCAGCGCTCTACGGTACTTATATTGACGTTCGAATATTTATTTATTTACCAGGTCCGTCAACACTTCGAACTCCAAGAGGACACAACTACCGAAGGAAAATACATTTTGATTAAGAAACCTACGAAAAACAAGAGTAGCTTTACAAAAGAAAAACTTTATGATGAAATTTATACGGCCTTGGAAAACCAGGAATGACGGCATTCTGGAACAAAGTGTCCTCACAATATGCTTACCTACCACAACAAGATTAATGTATATATAATAATAATGTAGAAAACAAAACCTGCAAAAAACCGACAGCTGCCAAACCTATTATAGCTACCAAATTTATGACTCGTGTGGAGGTTGATCTGATACATATGGGCAATTTGGGTCACTTTACAAAATGGTTTTGGTCCACTAACTTTATTGCATACGGACAATGGCAGTGAATTTACTGCTCAAGTTATTCGTGAACTTATGAGTAACTGGTCAGGAACGAGAATTGTTCGAGGATGTCCAAGGCATCCGCAGTCACAGGGCCTTATTAAAAGAGGCAATAGAATACTAAAAGGCAAGCCGTCAAAATGGATGCAAAGGAATCGATCAACTTTATGGTCTCAAGGCTTAGATCATATCGTATATGCAATGAATACAAGCTATTGTTGTGTGACAAAATTTACTCCATATGAGTTGGTCTTTGGACAAAAACCGAGAGCGAACTTGAGATTGCTCCATGCCTTACCTGCAGATACTGTAGTTGATGAAAGCAACTTAAACTTTGAGTTTGAGGAATCGATATATCCTATTGACTACGATTTATAAATGGAGGAGAAAAATGAAGAAACTGAAAGCGAAAACAGTATAATCGAAATTGAGGTAAATATAACTATAAATTACAATTTGATAATGATAATATTTATATAAAATTTACATATCTTAATTATATAGCCAAATTTTTCATACCAAGTGGAAATAGAAGAAGAAACCTTTGAAGAAGATAAGAAGAGACATCTGCTGAAGAATATTTTCGCCGTAGAAGAGAGGAAAGGTATTTCAAAATTTAACGCTTGATTACCATGGTCTTTGATTGTACCTAAGAGCAGGTTACAGCAGTACTGGAACATCAGGAATTTATTAACACACTTCCGGTTAATTACGTCCTAAAACAATCAAAGGCTCAGAAAATGATCTCAGAAAATTTGAGCACGATGAACGATTTCCTCAAGAATTGCCTCCAATGGCTGCAGACGTTCGATGATTGGATGCCCTACAACAAAATGTAAGTATTATTATGCACATTTTAATACGTGTATAATTTAATAATCCAATTATTATAGGAAGAGAGAAAGGAAGAAGAGGCATCCGAGAGTAGTCACATACAGAAAAAAAAAGTGATAAATAGTAAGCCAATCCGACAAAATGTAAAACGGAAGCGAGAGCAATGCCCATTCATGCCGACAACAGAAGCCAAAAATTTGCTAGGTAACTTATACAGATATTTTTAAATAAATGCCATACGCTTTAATGTTGATTTATTAATGTTTAATCAATTTGGGGATACTCAACATCAAATATTCAACCGCTAATCTTGAAATAATTGAGCCTGGTATTCATTATACGGAGCTGGACAACATACCTAATAGATGTGTAACACTCAAAGCTCAGTTTAACCAAGATTAGATGTAATCGCAAGACCAGTTGCACTTGTCGTAAAGCTGCAGTCATTTGTAACTTTAGTATACTATATAACTTAAACTGCCACCCTCATAATCGACAGTGCAGTAATTGTTATGTGTAATTATTATTGAATCATGAGGTAAGATTTAAGCGTATATAAACAGTATAATATGAAAACGTAATACAAGTAGTAATACCGCGCTTATATAGATTATTTATTCTTTATGCCAAAATTTACAGACGTCAAATAACATATATTTATAACAAAACCAAGTTATTTATGCGCAAGTAGGGTTGATATCGTAATGTCAATAAAATACTTTTATAATGATTGTCTTTACTAGTCCAATCTGACATATTATTCTGAACTGACGTATGTCCATTTTGAACTGACATAGGTTTGGAATGGACATAAATTCCAAACTGACAACAACATTAATAAGCTCGGTTTTTTACCTTCCAGATTGTAAAACACTGTTTGTTGATAGCTGTAGATGCAAAACTGACTGGTTTCACAAAAAATGTTCTTGTCGGAGAGCAAGTAAACTGTGCAGATTACAATGCTACCCTGCAAGATTTAGCTGTGCCAACAATAATATCTGAAATGTTTCGTATCGCGATCATTTTTTATTACTATGTGATAATAATAATATATAGGATTGTATCACATTCAGAATCCAGAAATAGTAATAAAATTATATTAAACTAGGTTTCACTAATTAGATGCTTGCCTCCCTGTAGAATAGAAATCTACATTACATTTTATCAATGTCTCTTAACAAGACTTACTTCTTGACTCGGGTTCTGTCGCTACGATCTTTGTGTTGGTTGGCGTGTACTGCCGAAAATGCTTCGCTTTCAGCGACGAAAACTGCTTTTCCTTGTCTTTCTTGCCCTTGTATTGTTTATGGTTCTTAGCTACCTCGCAGTTCCCTTTTTGTCTGACTATTTCGCATCTTGCGATCAGTACACATGGTCTTGCAGCCTCCGTCAGCACTTTGTCCCCGTGTCCTCAATTTACGGCGAGGACGTTGAACCGATTTTATTATGGACGCCCTGGTTCGGAAATTCCCGGTCCTGGTGGGAAGGCCTGAATCTCCACGGGAGCAATGAGAACCATAAATGTGTAGTTACGCATTATAGAGCTGCCAACGCTAAGGCCAACATGGTGCTATTTCACAGGTCCGATTTGGATGCGAATGACCTCCCAACCAAGCAAGACGGTCAGATGTGGGTACTGTATACTGCTGAGGCTTTAAGCCCGTACATAGGCAAGAATGCGAAAAAGCTGGAGGCCCTGTATCCGTACTTTAATTACAGGTAGAGTCGCGCACGTGATGTACTTGGGTGGTTGGATGTCGCCTCGATTCTTTCTTGCATCTCTTGTCGGATTGTTGACTATTCCCCCCCGCTTTTTGCTCATTTTTAACGACAATGAAATAGTCTCAACTACCGACTCGACTCGAATTTTCCATATGTTTACTACGACACCAAGATCATGGAACAGTTATCAAAACCTCCCCCTTCATTTTCGCCTGATGTCGAGCCGGTAGCATGGATAGGAAGCAACTGTGATGCGCAGAACAAACGACACGTTTATATAAAGGAGCTTATGAAACATATTCCGGTTGCAAGTTATGGCTCGTGTCTGAACAACAAGCCTGCAGTACCGCGTAGGTGGCCAGCCAGTTTCCATTAGCAACAAAAAAAAAAAAAAAAAAAACCAAATCTAAAATGGAAATCTCGTGGGATGAGTTTGCTCAAGTCGTTTTGTATTATTTTCAGGAGGACAAACCATCGAGTATATGTCTCGCCATCCTTTTTACCTGGCATTGGAAAATTCAAATTGCGACTACTATGTTACCGAAAAACTCCAGGTGAGTAATCACTCTCGCGACGTTTATTACGAAATTGTTCGTTCTTGTTAAACCGATTATTTGTGTGATCCTCATCCACTCGCAGAGCTCTTTCGCGGCCGGAGTTGTTCCTATCGTAACGGGACCTAAAAATTACCCACCATTTATTCCTACACCTCATTCCGTCATCTTCCTCGATGATTTCAGAGACCCAAGAGATCTTGCTAAGCACTTGCGTTTTCTTCTCGAGCGACCTGACGAATATAAAAAATATGTCGACTTTCGATTCAATCCACAGTTGATATCAGAAGAGTTCCGAAAGAATTGGGATGGTCCTAACGGATGGAACCACAATGTCGGGCTCCGTCGGCTGTGTGATTCGGCTTGGATGTTCAGAACTGGGAAGAAATTGACTTCCGACAATCCAGAAAAAGATTGGATGAAGCCCAGGGTTATAGAAGCGGATTCTTCATGCAATGAGACCTTTGACAAGTACGCGTATGTTAAAGAACTGTCGGACTAACGGTGCCGCCGAGCGAAAGGCGTTGTTCCTCTTTTGGATCTCCGGTTTTACCTTGACGCGAGAATGTTGTCTGATATTTTGTTAAGATTTTCAGTTTATAATTACAGTTTATACGTTGTTTGGAGTTTGAGCACTACGAAAGTTGTAGTGTGTGGGAAAGTTATGTTTTTAAACTAGAAGCTTTAATGTTACCGGGCGTCATGTGTGTATTTATGCAACATTTAGAAATTTCCGTTTTATTTATTTTGAACTAGATGAAATTTTGGGTGGGGGCTCTTATTGAGCATTGAGCGAATGTAATTAGTAGAAAGTTATATTTATTTATTGCTATACAGTATACTAATACTAATATGTATAAATTTTAACGTATAAGAAATGTCGCATATACTAATATAATGGTTATATTTTGTCATGCAAGGGTAGGTTTAGTTTCGTTGATGCTAAACTGGCAATTGTTTTTGATACATTCGAACGTAATTGCCTTTTTTGAGACTTCGCTGATTTTAGTGAATCTTGATCACTTTCTATTGTGGATGCAGAATCAGTGTCTCGGTGACTTTTTGAGCTTTCAGAAGTGGAAGGGGTTGGGTTAACGGTGTCATTGGTTCGATTCGGTTTTGGAGGAGGTGGGATGATTTTTGGATTGTCGAAGAGCGATTGGTACATGAATGATCCTTTTTTCGATAAGGTTGGGTTGAGCTATCACGCGATATTTGGTTGGTTCGTAGTTTATTGTTATATATGTCTAATTCGCCAACAATGGATACCTTGGAGATTCATGAAAGAACCAAAAAGCAAAAGTTAGACTTTTTTTGTCGACATCGTGACGAATTATTATGTCGTATTCTGCAAGGTGAAGTGTGGAACCGGTACCAGAAATGTACCGTTATGCTTGGATGGGAAATATAGTAGTAAAATGCACAGTCTCCTTAAATGCACGGTATTTGAATTGGTGATAAATGCCTATTCTGCACGTGCAACCGATTTCGCAATCCCAAGGATGATAAATTTCACGAATCACGTGACCCGTCTGCATTATTAGTAAGCGGTAGAATACTTGCCTTCCAAGCGAGTAGCTTTTCGCCGGTGACTGTATATTATTGGCATGAGCCGAACAAAAACATCTATCCGGAACTATAGAAGTAGTCCGAGATACAGTCAAAGCTCGTTATAATGGAATGTTGGGCATTACCCATGAACTCCATTATAGTGGACTTCTTAATCATTGCACGTGTAATTTATTTATATCGTGAAATTTATATTTTCTACTTGATACAGTTATGCCATCTTACATTGGAAGGCCAGTAATAAACGCCAATGGATATATCTTGTAAAGGAAAGACCTTTATTGCATTTAACCAACCCAGTATTTGATCCGTCCTCATTCCTATTGGCTGAGGCCATATAGGGCGACTAATTTTGAATAGACCGTTTAATAATATATGAAAATTGTAACAAGAAAAAATTTTTATAAAGCGATTCCATTGTAATGAGACGAGCTTTGACTGTATTCACTTTTGACAGAAAGTAGCTTATTGGGCCCACTTTTCTTTTATTCCTATTTGCACATACTCGTAATTTTAGATCGGTCTTGTATGCGCCATCCCAACCTTGAATTCTTTGTCTATTTTTTCGATGGAATCAGTTTCGAAAAATCTATATAGTTAGGAATAAATTCTAAAATAAGCCTTATGTCAAAGATTCTATGAAATCGATGACAAAATCGACTCCGTTGCCGCTGATACGGCAAAGCGGTTTACACTTTTATCGGCGACAGAGATATCTTTACCAGGAAAATAAACGAAATAAATTTAATATTAACGTAAAATTTTACTACAATATAAAGAGCTATTCTAATTGCAAAGAATTGTTGATAAAAACACGTTATTAATGAACAAATAATAAGTGCAGAAGACACGGAAAACTATGAATGCTTATCTTCTTGCCATTTCACTAAAATTAATTATCTGTCCGATAATTGGGGGATATTAAACAATCCAAATGTCAAAATTTCTATCCGCGTTGCATACGTGTCATTGGCTGTATTATCGTATAGTTCCGACAAATCACACGGTGTAAATATAAACAGTTACGTGCGTGCTATATAGAAAAAAATTTAGAAAGATGGGTGGTTATTTTCGGAACTATAAGGTAATATTACTAATCCGATGTGAGATGCATCTACTTAACATCTAACGACAAGGTCATATGACAAAAAAACAAATAGTTTTCCAAATAGGGAATGTAAACATCAGATTAATGCCGATTTGGTTTTCTACACATATGGTTTATTGCGTTGCGTTGTGGTTGAAGTAAGTAAACCAGTGCTTTTTTTATAAAACAAATCTCCGCTTGTTCATCATAAACTGGTGATTATTAGACAAACGCGAATTTCTACGCATTGATTATCATTGATCACACTCTGCATACAATACGCAACAATAGCAAATTGTAAAAGGTTTCTAATTGTCCGAAGTATAGCGAAGGACTTTCTATTGTTTTTGCTGTATGCAGTCTGATCCTGACCCCTGTGAGACAACAGTATGCATTAGATATCCGATACCAAGAAAAATGTTCAACACTGGTAACAATACCTACGTATTCCGCATTGATCGTGTCATTAGTAAGAAACATTACACGGGCATCTAACATACCAAAATATGAGTCAAGGCTTTTCAATTCTTAAGAATACCCCATCTACCAGTAAGCGATCTATACTCAACAAAGAATTTGCACCAACGGAAACAACCCAAACTGGTATGTAAAAAATGGGAGAAGAATAATTTCTTTTGGTATAAGGGACATCGTTGGTATTGATTTACAATTCCTGCATACTACGTGGTAATACGGCAATTTTGACGGATTGTTTGGATATGTAGTAAGAGTTGTTTGGAAAAAGGATAGATATTGGTTTCGTTATTAACTATCCATGCGGATATAGTAATCGCGAGCAATATGAACACAGAATACACGGATATTGCATAATAGTTTTCACAAAGCGAGCGCAAAACCTTACGTAACAAATCAGTGCAATTATTGTTGTTATTGATAAAAGCCGAGACAAATATTACCAAAAAAAGGTTAATATCAATAAAAAACCCAATACAATACCCTCCACTATAATTATACTCCCGACTGTTACATTATCTCATTTAAGATTGCGTCGATACTTCTATCATATCAATAGTTTTTGTCAAACAAGACCCAGCATTTTGCCGTCTACTATTTATTGTATGCTTGCCTACGGAATATGAGTTAAAGATAATACTAAAATAGCTGCTCTAAAAAAGGTTTCGATTGTTACAACGGGGATACCAAAAAAAAAAACCAACACAAGCGACGATGGTAACTATTTCTGTATCACGGGTTATGTTACACAGGATGACCACATAGCCCACCATTATCGCTTAGTCTTGGAAACTTGTAAACAATGAATAACTTTATTGATTTGTCCTCGTGTCTTTCAGCCGATTACGAGAAACTGTATGAAAGTGGCAAATATACCGATATTTCAATCCATGTTGGAAAGGAGCCAAATAGCAAAATTTTTCTCGCTCATACAGTGGTATTATGTACAAGAAGCAAATTCATTGAGAATAGCCTGACCGAGAATAAAGAGACGCCTGAAGAGACTCAAAAGACAGCCATAGCGTTTGAAGACGTAGAACTTGATGTTTTCGAAATATTGCTCAGGTAGTAATTTATAAATTGTTAAGTTGTGTAAAATTTTTTCACGCAGTATCACTCATTACAACCCCATTCTTAATAGGTATATTTACACTGGACAAATGTCCTACGATTCATGCAAGAATATCGGTTGGCTCACTCTTTTGGATGGAGCTAGCAAGTTTGAATTGCTTGATCTCCTCACTGCAATTGAAACTTACTTGATTGATAAACAAAGTGAATGGATTCAACAGAATATTCTTACAGTTCGCAAGTATGCCGCAACTGCAGTCTCTTTAAACAAACTTCTGGCCTTCTGTAATCGAATTATGGTTTCCCACCCGGATATTATCTTTAAATCGAATGATCTTGCAACTGTACCAAAGGAAACATTGATAACTCTTCTCAAGAATGATGAGCTAGACATGGAAGAAGATGATATTTGGATGTCAGTCATTCAATGGGCCATTAAACAAGTCCCTGAACTAGGGCTTGAAAATGATCTAGATAATTGGTCGCTTAATGACATTAACACAGTCAGAGATATCATAGCAGATTTTATTCCTCATATAAGATTTTTCAACATCTCCCTGGACAGGGTTACTCTATATTATGATTTATTACCAAGAAAGTTGGTTCGTGATCTGCTCAATTTTCAAGCAGATAAAAATTATAAACCAAGCACTTGCATGCTACCACCAAGAACAGGGCAATATAATATTGATTCAGTTATCATTGACAAAAAACAAGCAATATGGATCTCATCAAAGATTGTGGAATCAAAGCAGCTTCAAGAAAATCAAGGGATCTCTAAGCAAATTTATAAATTTACTCTACTTTATAGACCAAGTAGAGATGGTAATACAGTTGCAAAATTTAGGGAATTGTGTAATGGCAAAGGACCCACAATTTCTGTTGGGAAAGTGTTGGGTACTGACGAAATAGTTGGTGGATATAACCCATTTGCATGGGGATCTAGAGATTGTTATATTGATACTAAAGAGAGTTTTATATTTGCATTAGATAAAAACATAGATAAGAATATAGTAAGTTTTGTTGGTGATGATAGTTCATTTGCTATTCAGGATAATAGTAATGTTTTTCCTGCTTTTGGAAATGGCACTGATTTATATTTTGGGTATGATGGGAATCGCCAAGGATGCACCAACAAACATACATACCAACTTCCAATAAGACATAAATCAGGTTCTTTTGAATGGGTTGATTGGGAGGTGTTTTTAGTTTCAAAATTTTGATTTAATTTGGACTGCTTTAGAGTTATCAAGTTTTGCAGTTGAGGAAATTGTTGTTGCATTTAGTGAAAAATAAATACT